TTGTGTCTTGATTGTTCCTGCCAACATTACATACAGTGTGTACTAAAGCACGTTCCTTTTCTTGCTGTGAGTATTCTAGTGTTTGACAATTTATTCAGTATACTGTTGATGGACATTTGGGTTATTCAGATTTTTTTGTTTAATGAAGACACTGTGTCTTTAATAAAACCACCTAATCAATCAGCTTTAATCCATGTTCAGTGCTTGTTGCTCACAGAATTTTACTGTGAAGTAATATCGCTGACGTTAGTTTGTGGCTTGCTTGTAGATCACCCTTGTGTAACACTCTCCAGTGTCCTTTCACAGATATTACCTTGTTTGAGCCTCACCCTGTGAGGTGGGGCAAGGGAAAGAGTACATCCATTTTATGGATGAGGAAGATGTGGTTCTAGCAATTATTCTGAGGTATGGCTGGTGCAGGAGCCCAGGTCTCCTGGGTCTAGCACATTAATAGGAAGTAAATGAAGTTTTTAGTAACAATATTAACATCTGAACATTGTGTGAAAATTGACATAGCATTATAATGTCTATCATTTCAGTTAATCCTTTTGCCAAGCCTGTGAAGAAAAGTGTATGAGTTTATTCTGCCATTCCTGTGTGTGAGAATATCACCTGACTTAATACTTCTAAGGTCAAATTAAGTCTGACTGTAGTTCCCTTCCTCTTGTTGGGCTGGGAGAAAATAAAGTTCTTTCTGGTGGTTCTACTGACAAGAATAAAACTTGACTAAATTTGCAATAGATTACCTTGCCATATCACTATTATTGTTACCTCCCTTCAGCTAATGAGGAAACTAAGACGTAAAAGGCAGTTTGGCTAAAACTACTGTGGAGTAAGTTTACTGGGCATTGGTTACCGACTTGTTTGAGTCCATTGAGAGAGAACACGCTCATATGCAACAAATTACATGAAGCTTATGTGTTACTTACACATGGGCAGCAGAGGACGAAGGAAGTCTAGGATTTGTTGTAAGCTTGTCCCCCTAATGCACAGCCCAGCCTTTTTGGAGGACAGCCTCCCAGCATCAGGTGGATCTCTCTCTCTCTCTCTTTTTTTTTTTTTTTTTTTTGAGACAAGGTCTCACCTTGTCACCGAGTCTGGAATGCAGTGTTGTGGCCATAGCTCACTGTAGCTTCGAACTCATGGCTCAAGCAATTCTCCCACCTCAGCCTTCTGTGTAGCTGGGATTACAGGCACACAGCACCACTCCCAGCTAATGTTTTTTAATCTTTTATTTTTTGTAGAGATGGGGTCTTGCTGTGTTATTTAGGCTGGTCTCAAACTCCCAGCCTCCAGTGATCTTTACATCTTGACCTCCAAAATGTTAGGATTACAGGTGTGAGTCACTGTGCCTGGCAGGTGGATCTTTTTAAAATGTAAACTGTATTATGCTTTTATTATTATAAAAATACATGCTTATTTTATAAAATTTAGAAAACTTAGAAACTTCTCTCCCAAAAAGAAAGAAAAAACCTTTCATATTCAACTCCATTCTCCTTGTAGTAGCACTGTATTATACAGCCTTTAGGTCAGTTGTGTATCTTTTTCACACAAGTGGTAAAATCGTGAGTTTTCAACTTGCTTTTCTTATTTAATAATACCTTATGGATATGTTCTAAGTCTTTAAATGTTCCTAGACAATGCCATTTTAATATCTGTATGATTTTCTACTGTGTAGATATAGAGATGTGACAATTCAACCAATCTTTAATTCTTGGATATTTAAGCTGTTTCAAAATTTGAAAACCATAAATAGCTCTAAAGTGAATATTCTTGTAGTGATATCTTTAAGCACTGATGACTTTATATATTTTAAACAATGGTGTATATTCATCATTTTTATTCTAAAAAGAGGATTAAACCATACTGTGTTAAAATCTAAGACTTTGCTGAGACCACCTTTCACTCTGATTTTTGAATTGCTTTTATCTTGACTTCTCTTTTTTTCTTGAGATGGAGTCTCACTGTGCCGCCCAGGTTGGAGTGCAGTGGTCCAATCTTAGTTCACTGCAACCTGAAACCATAAAAATTCTAGAAGATAACATTGGCAAAACTCTTCTAGACATTGGCCTAGGCAAAGCTGTTCATAGCTAAGAACCCAAAACCAAATGCAACAAAAACAAAAATAAATAGATAGGACCTAATTAAACTAAAAAGCTTCTGCACAGCAAAGGAAATGATCAGAGTAAACAGTCAACCCACAGACTGGGAGAAAATATTCACAAATTGTGCGTCCAACAAAGGACTAATATCCAGAATCTATGAGGAACTGAAATCAGAAAAAAAAAAAAAAGACTAATCCCATCAAAAAGTGGGCAAAGGACACGAATAGACTATTTTCAAAAGAGGATGTACAAATGGCCAACAAACATGTGAAAACATACTCAACATCACTAATTATCAGGAAGTTGCATATCAAAACCACAATGAGATACACTTTACTCCTGCAAGAATGACCATAATTAAAAAATTAAAAAATAATAGATGTTGGTGTGGATGTGGTGAAAAGTAACACTTTTACACTGCTGGCTGGAGTGTAAACTAGAATAACCACTATGGAAAATAGCATGGAGATTCCTTAAAGAACTAAAAGTAGAACTACCATTTGATCCAGCAATCCCATTACTGGATATCTGCCCAGAGGAAAAGAAGTCATTGTATAAGAAAGACAGTTGGCACATGATGTTTATAATGGCAATTTGTATTTGCAGAAGTATGGAACCAGCCTAAATGCCCATCAACCAACAAGTGGATAAAGAAAATGTGGTGTTTATATTAATATGTACACCATAGAATACTACACAGCCATAAAGAGGAACAAAATAATGGCGTTAGAGGCAACCTGGATCAGGTTGAAGACTGTTACTCTTTTTTTTTTTTGAGACAGAGTCTCGCTCTGTTGCCCAGACTGGGGTGCAGTGGCGCGATCTTGGCTCATGGCAAGCTCCAAACTCCACCTCCCGGGTTCACGCCATTCTCTTACCGCAGCTTCCTGAGTAGCTGGGACTACAGGTGCCCGCCACCATGCCCAGCTAATTTTTTGTGTTTTTAGTAGAGACGAAGTTTCACCATGTTAGCTGGGATGGTCTCGATCTCCTGGCCTCATGATCCACCTGCCTTGGCCTCCCAAAGTGCTGGGATTATAGCCGTGAGCCACTGTGCCTGGCCTGGAGACCGTTACTCTAAGTGAAGTAACTCAGGAATGGAAAACCAAATATTATATGTTCTCATTTTTAAGTGGGAGCTGAGCTATGAGGACACAAAGGCATACAAATGATATAATGGACTTTGGGGATTTGGGGGG